CCATACAGGTGGCGCGGAAGTCCCTTCGTCACAGCCCTCCAACGTACAGGATTCATCTGGATTCATGAATTGGTTTTCACCCTTCAAAACCATGGCTTGTTCTTTATTCCTGAACATTTGTGTTGTAGATGTTCCCTTCAACCAATTCGGTTCAATCTGGTGCTTCATGGCTTCCTGGAGGGTGAAACAGCTGCCGAACCTTGGGATTCGTCCCAATTGTACGGCAAGTCAACAGCTGAAAAGGCACCAAGTCTTTGGATGTCTTGCGGCAAGGTCTAAGAAGATGCTTTTTGCAAAATTTTCTGCAACATATCTTACATGGAACTGGAGAACGCACAAAAACACGGCGGAATCTGCTTGTAGTTAAAGGCATCTTATATGACTACACTGACCAACTAAAGCTGCATGGCCCATGGGCCATAATTAATTCCGCACAAAACTCAGGGAAAACAAAACACAACACGCCCAAAAAAAGGTTTGACTCGACATGATTCGTATCAACACGATGTGCCTTTCCACTGCCCATCACACGAACTCGAGCTGCTCCCCGGCGGAGACTGGCGGGTCGACCGGGGCGGTGCGAATGCACCGGGGCAGCGGTGGAGCGGGACTCAAAAGATGTGGCTCTTCAAGGAACCCAAAGGATGGAGCAAGAAGCGTATACCAATTAGTAGCTCCTGGCATTATGAACGTAAGAAGCTAGGATGGAACCAAGGGCATTACTACCAACAAGAAACTAGGATGGAAGAATCTGCCACAGATTCAAATCAGGTGCTTCTCCTGATGTGCAACTTGATGAAGGTTGACTCAATTTAAAAAAACACTGCTACTGCCTACTGCTGGTGGTTGAGATACCTGAATTTCTCCACAGACTTCTGAACTCCTGGTTTTGCGATGTCTTGAGGTCGGCGAGATGTTTTTGAGGTTCCGTTTTCAGGGGTTTTCCCTCCTAACCAAACCGCTGAGCTGGGTCGTTTGGAGCGTGTCGTTTCCACGTCCTGTCTTCATGTCTTCACTCGGTCGCTTCTCGCCGCCGGCGGAGCTGGGTCGTTTGGAGACGGGGAGACGGTCCGACTCCAAACGTGCTGAGCGGATGACGACACGTGCGCATGGCCGCTGCGTGCACGTCCTGACGTCAGACCTCCAAAACGTGGAGGATTCGAACGTGCAGCACGCGGGCTAGCCAGATGAAGGTGCATAGGGCCCAGGCTTCGGTCCTCGGAAGGGACTCTTTTGGTCAAAAAAAAACATAGTCGTTGTAAACGCCGAACGTGCATCCTTGTGCTGTCCCGAAACTCGGCGGGTTGGATTCACCTTGGGGCATTCTGAAATGACCCCAACTGCAATACATGTGAAGCTACCCAGCTACCCTTATCAGTCCCAGCTGAGGACTTGGGAAGTGTGAACAAAGTCTACCCATGTTCAACGGTGACTTTGTAGCAGCGTGCTGAAACACCAACTTCTTGAAATTGGAGACATGCCTAGCCTATCTGAAACGCCCATGTCTTGAAGTTGAGATCTTTGGCCCAATCCCGCCAACCACAGAACCACCTGCCATTCCCACCGGATTCTTCCAACCTCGCAATGCAAAAATCTCCCTCCAAGGACAAAGTGAAGCTCATGAACCAAGGTCAACCAAGCTCCTCTGACTAGGTGCCTAAGGCTGTCCAAACATCTATGATACAGTATGTATAGGCTGACAGTATGTATAGGCTGTCCATCAGCTTGCCCCTGGTCAATTACTAAATCAGCCTTCACTCTCTCCTCAAATCCTCCGACACGGATTATATAAAGTTTAGCTATAGATTGAACCCTCCTTCTTTTAATACCTGGCCTGGGATGGGATGAGATTTTTGGGGGCTATAAATCGATGCACATCACTGCGTCTCGCCCTGTGGACCGATGGTCTGCACGCGACGTCGCACGCGACAAGGGAGGGCCGCGAGGTCGAGCTTGAAAACCAAAATAACAAATCTAACAACAACGGGCCTGGGCCATTCATAAATTGTTCAATATTTTTCAATACATGATTATGGTTTCTGAGTGTTTAATTATTGTGTTAGGCCTATACAGGGAAACTGTTCTTATATCGCCGGAGCTGGCACCTCAGCATAGATCCATATAGATTCCCTTCATAAATCCCCAAGATTTTGCAGCACGTGATCTCTTTTCAGCGACTGTTCACTCCCCAGACGCAGCATCCAGCCCTCCCGGTACCAGTCGTTGAGCTTCTCAGACTCCTTGGGCCCTTAAGCTGGACGTTTCAGGTTGAGGATGGACACGCACCAACTGCGTTTCAGCTGCTGTCACACCAAAGAACTGCCTGCAGCTTTGACTGAAAATGCGATTGCTTTGCCGTTGCTCGGTCCCTGCCGTTGCTCAAAGGCATGAGGCTCGGGGCAACGCAACGACCGTCACGGGATCTCGAGATCGCCCAGACTCTGAAGAACAAAAAACGACTTACTTGCAAAGAGGGAGCCCATTCAGGTGCAACCAACCCCAGAATATCAGCTTGGCCGGCTGATGAAGGTTGAGAACATCATCCATTCGTGGGTGTTTTCTTCTCCAAAGACTTCCTCAACCTCTGCGAGCCGTTTCGCAAAACGGGAAGGCATGGTGGTATGGCACAGTTCTTTTCTGCATCGTCCACCGGACCGTCTGATCGAATCATAGATCCTGTCCTTGACTATATGACTCACCTGGTATATGACTCAGTATGACCACGTTTCTCTACCCTTCATGCTTTTTCCCTTGTCCCAGTTAGTGACCCTACAAGTCAGTGACCTCATTTTACTGAAGTTAGACATGACAAAACACTAATCAAGGGGGTATAAGAAATGCAGGTTATATATGGTTTTACTGGGTCAAACTGGACTTTGTAGAGCGAGGAAGAACGGATCAAACAAGAAATTGGCCCAGTCGACTTGGGAAACCATTTTGGCCATTGGGGATCGTGGTCATCCTCCGATGCAGCCGCCGATGGCGTCGCGTCTCTTCAGTTTGGATGGCCATCTGGGTGTCCACCATGTTCTCACCAAACGGGGGAATAACTACATGTACAGTATTCATCAGCATTCCATATGCCAAGTAGTATATGGTATATTCTACATATTCCTACATGTAGTATGGCATATTCCCACCATACTACATATACAGTATTTCAAGCTTCTTTCATATGCTAAGTCCTTTGACCCTCCTATACTTATCTCAGCATCATTCGTGTCTGTGTCTTCCTTGAGGCTCCCTCTCAGAGTAGAAGCTTCAACACATCTACTCTATACCAACTCACCACGGCACGGGGCCCGGAACTGTGCAGCGCACGGGTCCGCACCGACGGTCCCCGATGCAGTGAGTGAGTGGTTTCCACGTGCTCGGATTCGCGGTCCATGTTTCCCAGGTCAGAATGGCCGAACAGTGGAAGGCGCCACCATTCCGTGGTGGACGGCTTGTTGGTGCCAAGTCCTTATCGACCAAACCAGCGAGAACAAAATATTGGCCAAGCTCTGTTCATTTGGTTACACAGCGTTGTCAACATTTGTTCATTTCGCGACTCACGCCGCGAATCCGATCCAAAGTCCACTGCATCAGCAGAGATGGATTGTACAACTTCGGTCTATTCGACCCGATCCTCCACACGACTTGGCGCGCGCGCCGGTCAAAACCACGGACCGCGAAAGCGGGTCCTCCCGCGGAGGGGGGGGGGCATGCGAAGGCCCAGAACGGCCCTTGAAAGGTGGAAATGGCTCGAACGAAGTGGGCGCCCAGGAGGAAACCTCTTGGATCGAAGTAAGACTTCACTCTCTGGCGCCATCTTCCCCACTGAAAATACCATCCCCTTGCCTACAGGGCCTACATGCCATGACACATCAGAAGAACCTTAGGCTCCCCTCATAGTCATCTTTCCTAACGCCGTTGGCCCCTTTGGATGTTCACTTTCTTCACTTTCCACTTTCAAGAGCTCAATCAGTCTCAAAGTCCTGATTCCAGGCCATGTCTGTCTCCAGCCGTTGCTTTTCCCCGCCCGGCCGCTGATTTTCGCACCTCCTCCGCTTCGGCCCTGTGCGAATGGGAGGGCCGAACGGAGACACGTCTTCAGCTGGGCATCGGAGAGTCTGTGCCATCGGGTGTCCTGGAGCCTGGCAGATCTAATGAGATCCCAACAACAGGTACTGTAATTCTAGCATCAGTCTGTCCTCAGCACATCCAAACACTTGTATCAGGGGATTTTCTGCAAAACAAAGCCTGACCGGTGCTTGGGAATAAGGGAAGCTTCGCCCCCAATAGAGCTTCTATTGGATCCAGCCACCCTGGATCCCACCCCTGCGAGATCGTCACACCGAAGCGGAGATGGAGTCTCGAGTCGGCTCTAGGGATGCGCGGCTTTGATCTCCAAGTGATATATACACACCAGCACATACCGACGTCCCTCCAATGGGCCCCCCCGGAAGCAGATCTTAGCAGCTAAAACCCTTGAGCACCCCTAAGTCTGCAACAGCCACCATTTTGGAGACCTGTTGGAGGGTCCTGGAAGGAGGCTGGTGAAGAAGTCATGAGATATTAATGAGATGTCATGAGTCGGTTTTATGCTATAGGAGTCGCAAGAATCGCAGCATGACATGTGTCGAGATTGCTCTCCTTAGGCTCCATTTAGGGGGTCCAAGGGCAAAGACATGAAGCTGTTCGGCATGGTTCACCATGCACCACCCGTCGGCGAATTTATCGGCATGAGATGGCATCAGTGTCTCTCAAGATCAGAGGACTAGGCACAATCAAAGAGTAAACTCATCAACTTCTCTGCAACCAGGTCTATGGCAAAGTTCCCCTCATTTGCTGCCACTTCACTTCCAACACAGTTCCTATCCCCAAAACTCCCAAACCAGGCCCTATAAACCAAACTGCCAACAACCATCTCCACTCCCTAGACTCCTAGACCGATCTGTCTATCCCTCCATCTCCCTCCATCGTGCCAGTCCGCCCAACTGCGCCGTCCAAAAGCACCTTCAAACGACCAGGGTGAAGACACAAGCGGCCAAGCCTGGGATCAGATCGCTCGCGCTGATGGACAGGTCCTTTCGTCACATCGACGATACCGCCGATGCATCTGGAGTCCTCTTGCACATGCACCATGCAGTTTCGTCCTGACTCATGCAAACTCGGTCATTGGATGTTCGAACGTAAGGAGCTGAGCGCACATGGCATCGTTGGCAGGTGGATCATCCAAAACAAAAACATATGATCGTGACTTGCTAGTATATGTGGTACAACTGTTCAATTCTAGCTGGTTCCTGGTCCTAACGTCGGTTCATTTCTTGAAGACGGTCCAACACATCGAACCCCTACCACTAGAGGTGCAGGAAAGACAGAACGGAAGAACGGAAGAACAGAAGAACCGTGGCTTGCTGGGAGCAAATCTCAGGTGGCTTCTGATGAGCAATATCTCTCAACATCCCAACTGACCAAACTGGACCAAACCTGAGATCCAACTACGCCCTCCTGAGATCGGATGACCGTCTGGATGTAGATGATCCGAAGAAGACCTTCCAAAACGGACCAAACGAAGGCCACACAGAGGCCCAAAGAGGTCAAAGAGGTCACGCAGTGTCACTGAAGGTCCCCATGACTTTTTCTACACGCGCCAAAGAGGGCTTCTGGTTCGATGAAGTGTCCAAACAAGTGCAAAGCAAAACAGTACACACTATAGTGCCCCTCCATAGTGCCCCTCCTGGAGTCCCAGGCCATGACACCGACCTGGCTCCGCCACCCCTTTCCTTCGCCTCGGATCCGGATCTGGCCGGATCTGCGCATCTGTCGAGCGGCAACCGATCTTCCAGGTGGAATGACTCTCGAAGCGCGTGACGGCCAGGCCTGGGAGAGTGTCTGGGGACGAACGCGGTCGGTGCGAGGCAGGTGGGCAGGGTGGACGTCTCGGCAGGTGGAACCACCTCGAAGGCGCTGCGTCGAAGGCGAGGCAGGTGGTTGGGGTCCGTCCATCCGCCATGCAAGGCAACAAATGGACCACGTAATGCTCTTACTGAGACAAAGTCAAGTGGTCCTACTGTTCTGGGGAGAATTGCTTTTGCTGGAAGTGCAACAAGGAGTTTGCTGAGACTTGGATGGCTGTCGAGATTGACTTATAGTGACTTATTCCAAATTCAGATGGTCCGCGATACACGATGCTCCTGGGCAATCAGCTTCCCTGTTCGAGTGATCGGCAACTTCAATGAAGACTGAGGTGTCACTTACATAGGTTTGAGGTTTGAGGCATGAATATCAGGATGCGGAACACATGAGTCTCTCCAGACTCTACAGCAGTTGCAGATTCACACAAGTGGAAGCTGCTGAGGTTCGGTCTCTGCCATCTCCCTCTCTCACACACACTGGCAGGGATGTACTTGGGAGAGAGGCCTGTGAATGTTGGGCAATAGAATCTATATATGCGATATAGATCGACTGCTATAGACACTAATTATATAGCAAATTGTAAACCCCAAACAGTCCAATCCCCCAAACCACGGGGCATTCATCCCCCCCTTACCCACGGCCCTACTTGACCCATCCACGCAGCTCCCTGGGCGCTCCGGACTGCCAAGCCAGGCAGCCGCCACGCAGGCCAACAGCCAATGCACCGGCGCTCCCAACAACTGCAGACGTTGCGATCGGATCGATCCAACGGACAGCCCGGAGACGCGGTGGCTCTGGCCAGACCCGATGTCTGAGGTGCTTTTTTGGTTTTGTATGGAGCCCTTTGGAGTACAAACACGATGAGGTCGACCTTATCAGGGACAATTAAGGAAAAGGTCTTTGAGAAAGCAAAGTAGCAGCACTATAGGCGCTTTGTTGTTGGTCTTCTTGGATGCTTCGGAGCACCCAAAAGGAACATGGAGGTGGATGGCAATGGGCTCTTTGGATGAGTGCGTGCTCCTCTAGGAAACAGGACCCTGATCGTCATGCAATGCAATATAGGCCTTTATGAATTTCCATATTTGTTGATTTGGAAGGTGAGAAGCTTGCACTCTCCTAGCTCTAACACAATTTTTTTGTTCCTTCCTGCTCCTTCCTCCTCTGTGCCCCCCAGAGCTGTACAACCGCAATCCGCACGGTGGGCGGTGCAAAACTATGGGAAAACAGCCGACCATCCGATGACCCAGCAAAAGATCAGCTCCTGAACATCACTTCAGATTGATTGCTTTCAATCTGGGATGAGGAGTGTTTCCAGTCGATCAGTCGATCACACGAATCGTCGGCACGTGTTGCTACACAGGTGGGCATGCTGTACCTACCTAGATTTTGGGGCATTTGCCCAACTTGAGTCAGAAACTGAGAAGAGCTCAAGATAGGGCATTCCTCAACGCCCGACTCATTAAATCCCTGCATGATTCGCCAGCAAAGATTTTTCTGGCAAACATCAGGCTACTGCATTTTCAAGGCTGGACTGGTCATGGATGGCCACAGGCTTTCGAGGCTAGTTGTTCCCAGCAATTGGCATGAATAACCAGTTGCCACAGTACGAGAATGATTGGTCAAACCTCAAGTTGGGATTCCACCCTTGCTTTCTGCAGGCGCAAAACATGACACTCTTCGGGAGGGCCCCTACAAAACTTCTCTCTAAGCTTATTCATCTGGAGACATAATCATCAAATATCACCGATTCAGCAATCATCCAGCCTATACATCCACCAAATCCACTGGTACCAGTTCAAGGCCTGCGTGAAAATACCACTCAATATAGTACCACCAAATCATGAGAGTTGATATTCTATACTATCCAAAACCAAAAAAAAACTCACACCACATTGCCTCTGGTGCATAGGAGAAAGGGCTCAAAGAAAGGCTGCGCGGCTTGTGAAGCGGTTCCTGTTTTTTCGACATGGAGATATCCCAGGGCGATCCTCATCCCCAATCCCTGCATGCTCAACAAAAACAGAAGTGAAATGCCCCGCGTGCCCGCAGCTCTTATTTCAAGTGGATGACGAGTGTGAATATCAACATTCCATCTACGAAACATCCCCAAACTCATGTTCACTTTCATCTACTTTGATCGACGAAACCGGCTGAACGAACATCGAACTGGTCAGATCTTGCCATCCATTGCAGTTCTGCCTGGCCACGACCGTGGCCCAAAAGGGGGACCACCTCTCGGCGCTCACGAGCCACCGCGGTTCAGCCCTCGACCGGACGTGCCGGCGATAGCCGCGCTAGGGGCGCCGTAGACCGGAGTGGGGAGGCCCAAGAAGCCTCGGTGGGAGACTGCAAGGGCCGGGCCAAGAGCGAGCGAGCCAGCTGGGCGTGCTTTTTGAGCCCCCGGTCAGAAGCCGGTTTCGCTGATGACACGAGTGCTGCCAGCGAAACGGCATGGTGTTGTCTTAACCTTGCAAGCTGAACCTGGCAAGCAGCGCAACCTTGATGTGTAGAATGTTCGCGCCAAGAAGCGTGCTTGCAGTTGAAGTGCCAAATATTTGGAATAGTTCCTGGAGAAGCCCAGGTTTCCACCCTGCACCTCATCACGCCCAAGGCGGAGCACAGCCAGTTCCAAACCATGCTGGTACCGGGGTCAAACAAAGGAAACTCTTTGGAACGATCCCTGGATTTTTGGATCTGTTTCAGATCGTGAGTTGGATAGGGACAGAAATCCAAACAGGACCATTGGTGATCATTGGCAGATCAAACAGGACCTAGCTCTTCCTAAGTAGATCATGTTATATGGATGAAACACAATGTGCATGATAGAAAGAATCTTGAATCTTGCATGATATGAAGAGTTACGAACATAGATCTACAGTAACATGATCTGACAATGTAGAGCAGTGAAAAACACCCGGCGGCCTGCACTCGGCAACTCCCAATGTGAGTTCACCGAAAAAACACTCGTGATATTGTCAAGCCTTTAGAGCCAAGTCCGGCAAGAGTGAATGAGCCCCGTTTCTTTCTCTTGCTCTCGTGTGGATTGTTTTGACTTCAGCATCCTAAGCAGCACGTTCTCTTCCCCCGCCGCGGCGACATTCCCGTGCATGAATGTGTTCAATCGATCAGGTAGGCTTCAGCCTGCTGATCTTGCCACCTTGCAGCACTTCACCCAAACAGGCCTTCAAACTGCATGCTGGCCCCATCAATGGGCTCCAAGAACAAGGACTGACTTTGCCTGTCAGGTCGAAATCTTCCCGTTCCCATCCGTTGAGTTCTTCCGAGTTCTTCCCCAGTCCTCCGCGCCGCACGCGGCGGCGGATCTTGCGGATCATCCCCCCTTGCCGCGCCCTGGGCGCTCGCGCCCTACCGCCCAAGCCCGCGCTCCGCCGCACCGCGATCCCTTTCCAGAAGGCACCCAGAGATGCTCCACCGCCGTGGGCTTCCACATGTTGCGCAGCTCGCCCTCCCAAGGGCCAGGATCGCCCTCGAAGCCGCTGCCCAAGCCCCAGACGCGGCCCAGCTTTTCGGTGACATCCTTCCCCAGGAACCTGTGCGGAACAAAAAGGGCCGGCCAGGTAATTAGATGGTGAGGGTGTGGTGAGGTGGTGAGGTGGTGGTGCAAGTGGTCTTGGCTCCGTGTTCAACCACTAAGATGCGATGTGACAAATCACCCAAAGCAAACTCTTCCAGTGGCCGCCGTAGCTAAGACTGTTCCATCACAAAATGCAGTCCACAGAAGAAGCGAAGAGTTCGCAAACTAGAGAAACGCGCACCTCATCTTCCAGTCACCTGCAAACGTCTTCACACCAATCGAAAGGAATCATTTGTCATGGTGCATGGGTCCAGAACCTCACCCCTGGACACCATGAAGACCCCTTTTCCATTGGATCCAGCCTCATCTTCATCCGTCCAAGTCCTCCCACTCCTCTCCTCCACTCCACCGTCTTGTCGCCGGTCCCGGTGGCTGCCTGGAGACCGTGTCGTTCAAGGGTCGGTAGCCGGTGCCCAGCACCACGACGTCCGCCTCCAGCTCCGTGCCGTCGCCCAGCAGCACGCGGCCACCGGGAGTGAAGCCTCTGTTGGACTGACCGGCGGTGGCCCTGCGCCACGTGTGGAAAACGGAGGAAGGCACTATTCATAGAGAGCTAGCTTTAGCCCAACATGTGTGGAAAAGACTAGTAAGTATAGGCGGTATGTAGGTGAAGCCAAAGTGTTGTTCAATGATGTTCAATTGGTTGGATTGGACCCCAATCCCACCAAACATGTTTTGCAGGATTGGGTACGATAGGATGGGACAAGCACTATGAGGTCACCATAAGTATGACACCAAACCTTCCCCAAGTGGAACAAAACGTTTGGCTAGCGCAACAACTTCCACAAGCTCATGCATACCACCCCTTTGGCTACAAACCAGCCAGCCTGCCAACCTCATGTACGTATTCGCCTCGCCCCAGCCATCAACACCAGTAACCCAGCCGGAAGATGCTGGAGATGAAGACAATGAAAAACGCACAGAAGGTGCAGCCATCACCATCTTTGCATACCAACCCAAAACCCCATGGCCAGGTTCCCATCTCTTCCAACCAATCCATCATGATCCATCTCTTCTCTAAAACCCAATCCGCGTTCTTCCACGTCTCCCACGCTCTCTCCCCCACCCATCGATCGGTCTACCCATCTGATCTGCGCACCTTTCATGTCGCCCTGCTGCAGCTTCACCTCCTTCCGGATGATCAAATCGGAGGCGCCGGTGTCGAAGTAGTAGCCAGCGCCGCGGCGGAGGAACATCATGATGTTGGCCTTGCAGGATAGCGCTCGGTCGGATGTGGCAAGTTATCATCACATGGATCCGGACAGGAACCAAACGACTGACAGTGCTGTTGCAGTTGGATCAATGCTAACATCTGTGGGCTCAGGGAGCAACATGGAGAAGCTCAAAAGAACCAATCAAGGCCAAGTCTTCTACATGAATCTCCTGACATTTTCTGAATTTTTGATGGGTGAAGTGGCGGAAGTTCCCTTTCACACGTCCAGCCGATGGCCGAGCGACCGTCTCATCCTCGCCGAAGTCCAGCCGGAAGCCTGGACTTTCAGAGCGTAACAAGCGAGAGGTGTACAGGTGTCCAGTGGCTTCAAAGCCCGAGCTACGCAGCTGACTATGCATGGTGTGGAGGGGGATGGAAGGGTGCGTGAATATGCATGTTGTAACAACTGTTACAACATGTTACGACTATCCTCCCTTACTAAGGTTCATGACAACGGCCAACTGACTGAGAAATGGTGCACAGGTCCCGCTAGTGAGTTGAAAGAACACATCAATCTCGTTGACGATCCTGTTCCGACTGAAACATGCAGTAGACGTCATGTCATATCTCAGGATGTTTGACATGCGGGATGAGGTTGGGCACAAAGTCACACGTGACACAACGAAAATGGAGGAGCTACCCGGTCCTGCAGCTTCCAGTTTCTTGTAGTAGTCGGCATCCGTCTCGCGAATCTCTTGGCAGCGCTTCTTCTGAAGCTCCGTGACCACTTTGAAGGGATAGGTCGTGGAGATCAAGTCGCCCTCCTCCTCGTTTCGGGGGTCAAGACAGAAATGCTGGAGATCAAAGCCCCTATAAAACTGAGCGCCCAACTCCAGATGGGTGAGGTGCAAACAGCATATACTGTATACATGCGAGTATCATATCCATATAGGGACACCGACCTCGCAGCACCGACCTCGCCATCCTTCGAT